TAAATTATTTTAGATTTGCGTTAAGTTTTAAACTGTTAGTGAAAGTGTGGTAATTGTAAAAAACTTCCAACTTCAATTTTTCGTCTATAACAGTAAAGAAAAACTTGAACTTGGTGTTTCAAATTGCCGAATATAAAAATGGTGGATTTTGTGGCCTTTCAATAGGTAAAGTATAATCTAATTGTATTTATTAGTTTGCAGCTTAGATCTATTACTTTAAACACATTGAAATTCCTTCTCATTTAATTAATCAATCCCATTTAAATACTAATTAGAATCACAAACACAGTTATTTTTCAAAGAAATACATAACTTAAGTTAAATAATGTAAACGCTTGTAATAATGTTATTGAAAGGATATTGGTTTAGGCGATACTTTCTACATTAGTCTGAGCTCTTATCCCTTTATTTATTCCACGCACTCATACACATTCGTGACATGGCTACTACTCGCTATATACTTTCTACTCTGTACACTCTCAAAGCCGACCTTCTGAAATCCTTCACACACGTAAACAATAATTTAGATGAACGTATTCGAAGGCTTGAAGAAGTTCAAATCACAGACGGTTGGACAACAATAGGCAACATCGCAGAAACTTCCAACTGTTTTTCTGTTTTAGATTATGACGATGAGATTCCTTGCCTTCCCAATCCTCACTACCCCCTCTCATCATCGACACGCTCACCCACAAACCAACGCAAGCAGGCTATCAAGCGCAACGAAACTAAGACATGTAGAGTTGCGCAACCTGGCCCATCGACATTCCCACTACCATGGGCGACAAATCTCGTCCCTGCTCAGTGGAAATGTCCTCAGTGGGAAACTCCCATCCAATTTCTCTGTCATGGATGTGTTTAAACCTAACGGGAGGTTTGCGGATGTGGCCAGTGCGGATGTGACATGTGACAATCCACTCAAAAACTCTCACCAAACGGGATACAGTTATCATAGGAGGGCAGAATGACATCAATTTTGGTGGTCACTTTACGCCTTAACATGTAAACAAACTACAACGTGCCGTCCAAAACACAAACATTATAGTCTCAACTCTGCCGTTCTGGTACAACAAAGCAACACTGTGCAAAGAAATGAAAAAAGCAAACAACTAATTGAAACTGCATCTGAGACACACAAATTAAATTATTTGAGCCAAACTTTCTCTCAGAAAGACACTTCACCAGGCATGGTTTTCATCTTTCACATCATCGGCAGTGTCCCGCCAAAGACCCATCGCCTAGTTCTCTTCCATCCTCCGGGACCTCTTTGGACCCATTACCTTATCCCCTGAACGTAATTCTTGTACTACCTCTCCCATTATTCATTTATCTACATTTGTCACCCCTACTTTCTCACCTCCTGTCACTGCTGGGGCACGATACTTCTTTCGACCACGCACTCGAGATAAAAATGAGATAAATAAATAGCAACTACAGTTACAGTGTGGTCTAGGTCAAATAGATGGTTTTTACTGTACAGAGCACTGATTGTCTCAAAATTATCTAAACACACTCCAAATTTCTAGTTTTTACCTTACAGGATTGTATTGTAGAACGAGGAAATCAAATAAGGGCCCTGCTTATGGAGGTTCATGTAAGAAATGATATTGATTCTATCTTCTTGTCAGAATTCAATTCAAATGCAGTTGACAATGTTTTTGAAATAACAGTTGTACGACTTACTACGATCAAAACTATCTTACTTTGCATTTACAGACCAACAAAGCGAGCTTTAGATAATTTCATTTCCTTAGAAAATCTAGAAATAACTTGAAACAAAATTAGTAATCTATCTTTTAAAGCCATTGTTATATGTAGAGATTTCAATATTGATTTCCTGAGCGAATCCCATGAAATATTGCAGTTTCTCAATGTACTGCATTATTTTAATTTAGATATTACAGTGAATGTACCTACATAGAATACATTTATATCACAAAAAGCAATAGATCAAATTATAATTACCAAAATCACAACAAGATATTAAATAAAAACTACTAATCTTGGTTACAGCTAAATGCAAGCAAACATCAATAGGAAGAAATATAGTATATGAAAAACAATTACGTTGGTGTACACAAATATATTCAGTGTTAACCCTGAATTTAAATTCACAACTCTTAAAGACATCTTTTTACAACTCAAACGTAAATGAGGAAAGGAAGTAAGAAACGTTCTTCTTTTAAAACAGATAAAGTGTAGGATTCTTGGATAATCACGTGACGAAACAATGTTACGTTACATAATTTTCAGAACAATGAACAGAACCAGTTAAAGGCAGGCTATTATGCATTTTACACGCAGAACAAATCGAGTCGTAAACCAATTCTTGAGGTAGAAACAGCAATTTTTCTCCACAAGGACAGCAAATTGAAAAACAGAACTATTTTACGGCTCGATACGGCCTCACATGTTCGTGTTAAGCACGGCAGCTCTCTCATACATATATCTCAGCTCACATATACGTATTGAGATCATAGCCACGATAAAACCACAAGGAACGCAATGACAACTTTGCTGGCGCGGGCTTGTTGGACCCCGTAACCTGTTGTCAAATCGGAGTGTCACAGTAGAGGTTGTAGAGTACACAGTAGAGGTCACAGTAGAGGTTGGCCATGGCTCAGCCCCTACCCGAGCGCCTGCTCTGTTCAAGGGTTCTTGGACAATGAATGTCGCTCGGTGAGGTCACCGCAACAGCAGCGACTTTGTAAATTAGTATTAAGATAGTTTTTTAAATCGCGCTTGCAATCATTCACCCTCCACGAGTTAATAATCACCATCTCACATCCTTTTTTGTAATCTAATTTTAGAGTGAAAGTAAATTCTTATAATATATTTTCTTTCAATCATGTCACTTGGTATGTCTCGCCTGCCGAACTCTCCTCCCAGAGCAGCCGAGCAAGACAGCAATAAAGCAGGAGGTAAGTTGGGGGCTCGATTGGACGCCGGACGTTACACTATGTAGATGAGTGAGCGTAGGTTCAGTGCAATAGCTAATTGTCAAGAAGAGGAACAGTCTACTCATCACTGAACGTGACCTTCTGCGATTGATGTTTTCGAAGTTGGAACACGACATTGGCAAATTGTTAAAACTTCTTCAGTTCCAACCATCTCATGATTGTTTTACTTATTAATTTTGTGTTTGTTTGGTGATCCGGGTGCCCGAGATCGCCAAGGCACTAGTACCACGGCGATCTTGGACCGAAGGATCGTGAGTTCGAATCTCGCCCCGGGAATGGTTGTATGTGTGTGTTTCGCGATTGTGTGTGTTTGTAATGTGTAATATGCTAATAAATCCCTTGTGGTTGGCGTCAAGAAGGGCATCCGGCCGTAAAACATTCGCTAAATCTGTATAAAAATAGTGTGCAAAAATTAATAAAAACACGATCCCACACAAATTAGCGTCGACTCCGTTGCAACGGGAAAAGACAAAGGATTAATAATAATACTACTACTACTAATAATAATACATTTTGTGTTTATTTTATTATTTTATTTCTTATTGATTTTGTATTTATTATTGAAATGTTAATGAAAAATTATTGTTCACTTTGTTGTCGTTTAATTAATTTCTACTCTATGATTTTTATTAGAAAAATCAACAAATGAATTAGGTACAAACAAGAGCAACAATATTTTGATATTTTTCATAAAATTACTAGTTATGGAGTTCGGGGCGTTGGATTTTTTCTTCTACGATGACGGTGGTCCAGATAATGTTAAGAACCTCTAGTCTAGTGAATGCTATATCCCGGGGGTGGCAGTGATCCTCCCCTGCTGGATGGTGAGATGCGGCGTCCATCCATATGTCGGCTTACGGGATTTCATCTCTAGGTAATTCCTTCACCGGCGGGGGAAGGCACCAGCCGGGACAAGCTGTAAGATCTCGATTGGTCTCCCAAGTGTGATAATGAAGTGCGTGTGTTTCCGTGTGAGATGAGAGCACGGGAGCAAGGGGAGAGAATGGGAGGAGGGTTTGCGTGGGAAGGGGTTCGCGGTCCAAACGTGAGGGTTGGTACAGCTCTAGCTAACGTCTGTCTTCGCCTGGTATTGATCCAAGAAAACATAGAAAACTATCTATCAGAGTAGCCGGCCGCTAAAATTCTCCTCCAGTCAGTGACTGACTTCGGCCGAGCGATCTAACTAGTGTCAAAAATCTGCCACCGCCACTCGAAACTTTGGCCTTTCGGTCAGAATTGCTGCAGAGACAATGGTACTACTAGCTCTGAGTGAACCTTTCTCTTAGATGCAAAGTGTTTGACTTTTTTACACGTAACATTCTGTACTAGTTTATGCTAATCTTTCTTTCGAACATGCTGCATATCGCTTCTCTGAAGAGCTTTGCGAATTAGACAAGTGGCTGCTCTAATCGGTAGTTTTCTGTAGCTTCTCCAGTGAACATCACGCGAATGCCGGAGCAGTACCTTAACAAACGGACCACGGACCACGCGCGATCTTTCCTTCTACTTCCTTGTCATATCCTCACTCCCTTACTTACACACACACACACACACACACACACACACACACACACACTGATATGCACTTCACTACCATATATATCGAGAGACCAGTCAGGAGCTTGTCCCGGCCGGGGCTTGCCCCGCTGGTGGGAGGTACCTGATGGGAAAAACCCCGAAAGCCGAACCAGGAACGTCGGCAATGGATCTCACTATCCAGCTGGGGAAGATCACCACCGCGAAAAGAATGCACTGCACTTACAGGACCAAGGGTCTAAACAGTTGACGCGCCCGGCCGGAATCCCTAATCAATCAATCGCAGCTAATTAAAGAATGTGTTATGCACTTCATGATTATTCAAATGCATCGATTAATACATACATGTTCATACATGTTAAGTGACGGCTAAAAATTGATGGTAGCTAATTGTGGTGTCTCCAATGGTCCTGCAATTCAAACAACGCGCTAATACTAATGTACATATTTACACTAATGTACTGAAAAAGAGTCGAATCTTTGTTCGTCACTCACTATAATGCATCGCAAATCTCGTCGAGGCTCGTCGATTCGCATTCAACAGAAGTCTATCTGATCCGGCAAGGAAATTGATAATCCAAGTTTATCATGAAATATTATCTCGTTCTGAAGAATTGCTGCAATGTCACTAAGCAAGCCTTTCAGCATAAGAAAGATTCGGACTTATTATATTATATGAAATAATACAACTGCTAGATGCAAATAGTTAATGAAAACTGTAACTTGCTGATTGGTAATTCGAAAGCACCCAAAAGCAAGCAGCCTCTGAAGCCGCCTTTCGGCCAAGAATTGAAGCAAACGGAGAGTACTCTGACATAACACTGTCATGTGTGTATAAAGAGGCAGTGACAGGTGGGATTGTGAGTGACAAAACGCCACCCAAAATGAGATCTTACGAAACATATCCATTGCCGCTTTCGATGAGAGGTGAATTACCAAAGAACAGTGGTGAACTCTGAGATGTATCAGTTCGTTTTGTTTATGTTGTTTGTGTGTTCCATGCACGTCTTTTGTGTGTGCGTGCGTATCGAGATGAATTAAACTGGCGGTCAACTTCTAGTACTTTTCAGTAAGCGGCAAAAGTTAAAGAGTCTGAGTAAAACAGTGATGATATCATGTGATTTGGTACGTCAGTATTAATTGTGAAGACACTAATAAACATGGCGTTTGTACAAAGGCAAGTAATTTTCCTTGTACACATTTATTTCGACTGATTTCAAGTAATCTCTCTTTTGAAGCATCCTATCTATGCACTTGCCTTATAAGGACACACTTGTGTTCCCTTTGGAATCTCTTAGAAATTTTCTTATTGATAGTATTTCATATTTACATATGTTGATAATTCTTATTTAAAGAGGAAGTAGGAAGCAATGCAACTGAATGTTCAAGGTGCACAAGTTTTGACATCATTTCTTTTTTTACATTATTTCTTTGAGTGATTTTGTAGCCAAGTATCAAGATGAAAATTTTCTTTATCAATTTATTGCTGTTTGTTTTGCTCATTGTGTACTGAGGATTTAAAGATCACATTCTTCTTTGAATTTTAGGTTAGAGATGTCATCTGAGAAACTACGCCAACAATCAGAAGGTCAGCTGTACAAGTACACCAATGTTATGAAGGGATGGCAGTATCGATGGTTTATTTTAGACCCTGAAACTGGTTATTTAGAATATTATTTGGTTAGAATTATTTTCTTAATGTATTGATATTTTTTCTTCAAAATTTATCATAAATGCTTACTAATAATTATTTACATTTCTGTAAAGAATGAAACAGAACGCAAGCAGAAGCCTCGAGGCTCTGTTCATTTGGCTGCTGCTGTCATTTCCCCAAGTGATGAAGATTCAAACACCTTCACTGTAAATTCTGCCAATGGTGAAATGTTCAAGTTGCGTGCAGCAGATGCTCGTGCAAGACAAGAATGGGTGAATAGAATTCGGGCAGTTGCTGAAATGCATACAATGGCTATAGCGCAAGTATGATCATACAAATTTTTACTCAATAATTGTACACTTTATTCACTGTAGTACATACGTTTTGTACAGTGAAATTTTAGGTATTGACTAATGTGAGAATATTTATTGCTTCAGAGTAATCCGCCTTTGCCTCCGCGGGAGCACTCAGTGGCCTTGCCCCTGCCACATGGGGCAGTAACAGTTCCAGGGCCCAGCCAAGGGCCTCGTGTTCATTGCTCTCTTGCTGTGCTGGATGCATTCAGTACAGTAAGAGACCATTTGCATAGAGTTGAGCAATATAGTTTTCTCTTGAATCGATCTATAGAAGAACTTCCATCATCAGGTAAGCTTGTCTTAGAAGATTGAGTTTTTATTAATATTTTCACAAATTGCATTCATTTTGAGGGAAACGTAGTTCCTTTCTGTTTCTTAACTATTTCTTTGGTGGTGTCTGTAATTCTGCCTAGAACTCCTTCAATCTACGTATCTTTAGAAAATCAGTATCAGTTGAATGCTTTTGTGCAAATATCTTTAGATGTCTCAATTATGTATTAAATGTATTATTGTATATAATTATAATTTTATTTACGCAATACTAACATTTTAAGAATATATCTCAAGAGGAAAAGGAAATGCAAATGTGGATCACAGTGTTATGTAATACTCAGTTGACTTTAAGAATGGCATCTTCAGTGTGTCTAAAAGTAGGTGCTTCCTGTGTTTGCTCAGACTGGTACATAAATAAACCTTATGACACTCCCCTGCTTCCCCTGACAATAATTAGTTTCTGCTCTGTGAAAGATTTATTAATTTTTGCATTAGTGAGAGTTCATATTGGTTCCTTTTCTTTAAGTATTGATGATTGAAAAGTAAAAGCATTTATAAAAAAATTCTATAACATAAAATTTAATTATACATAAGGTTATTGTGAAACAAAATTAGAACATCACTTTTCATCTACAAGATTTGTTAAGAGCATCTTCAATGCTCATTCTCATCCAATCATTGTCATTATTTTCTTGTATGGCAACAGTAGGGCTTGATATTAGTTGATATATCCTCAGCTGAGTAGATATAGTTGCTCAATATTATCATATTTGGTAAAAGGATTTACGAAGTTCAGCGGCAGTAATTTTTGAAGGTTTAGAAGTGAATTGCGACTGAGCCACAGGAACCCTCGGAGGTTGACCCTATAATCAAAATGGCTCAAAAATCCTGATTATCAATTATTTTTTGTTTTAATGAGTTGTGCATTTTAAATCAAAGTATTTTTATTATTAGTTTTTGGCATTATGTTGGACACTCCGTTTCTTAGCAGTATTTGTGTGAGCTGGCGACAGATCATGACAAAATATTTCTCTCTTTGCCAGTATTTATTCTTAACCTTCTGATTAAAATAACATGTTTTTATTGTATATATATTGTATATTGCTCATATTATATTGATGTTATATTATGATACCATTATGAAAAACACTATTTGTTTTTCATAACGGTAATATAATTTGAATAGTAATATATAATGATAATATGAATTCATTTATCACTTCCATTAAAAAGTAATTTTAAAATCAACAGCACAAGTTGTGTGTGTATAAACACAATATTTTTCAGGATATTTGGAAAAAATCTGCATTTGCCAGAAATAAAGTTGAGTACCAAGAAGCAGTTAAGGATTTCTGATGAGCTACTTTCTTGGAATTATGAATTGTAAAGCAGATGTAATAAGGCTGGAGGATTTTTCCTTGAATTATTGTCTAAATTAAAAACGGAGTTCATTTACTGTTAAGTTCAGAGAATATCAAGGACTTCATCAGTAATTAAGTTGTATTTTGTGGCTATGATTTATTGCATTATGTCGTAAATGCATCTCTACATCCTAATCTTTTGGTCATAGATATCTGTCCTCTAGTGGGAGCATATATATGAAGAGTTTGTATTTTGCTAATAATGAAAATGAATGTATTTCAGGTTCCTGTGTGAAAAATATTGATGAAGGAATGTTACTACTAAAGGCAACAAGTCAAGCGACATTAGTGTGTTTGGGCCACTGTCTCTCTATTCTTCAGCAGCAACAAATAGCTCCAACTCTGACGGCCAATGCTCCTATTATTGCACCACCACCTACTTTCCATAAAGTGACTCAAGGGACGCATCCAATGCCAACAAAAAAGATCTCACAGCCACCATCTCATTCAGTGCACATGGAGGATGTTAAGAAGAGGTAACAACATAATTTTTATTTAATGATTTGTTCTCAGAAGTAGCTCTGCTGTTCAAGACAAGATATTTTTTGGCAGACAGAAA